TCGTAATAACTTCGAATAGCATAGCTTCGTCATAGCGTACATCCAACGCGCTGTCGAGAGGACGATGCTAGGAGTAACCCTATACACGCAAGTGCAGAGGGGAATCCGGAGTTCCGAACTACGCCAACGATCGAAGATCAGGGACGCTGCCGTTTTCGCCAAGGAATCGAAGATAGGTGGGCCGGACACGTCATGCGATTTTGCGATGACCGTTGGACCAGAGCGGTTACCGACTGGATCCCTCGGGACGTCAAACGAACACCTGGACGACCGCCGGCCCGATGGTCAGACTTCTTCACGAAAGCTCTGAACGAAAGGAATGAAGGACTCGTGTCCCTCGAGCGAGGAGGGTCACTGGACAACTCTTGCACGCGACAGGGACGAATGGAGACGTTGCTGGCGCCCGCTCGAGCAATTCGATGATCAACGGGACGACAGGTGATACAGGTGATATATATATATATATATATATATATATATATATATATATATATATATATATATATATATATATATATATATATATATATATATATATATATATATATATATATATATATATATATATATATATATATATATATATATATATATATATATATATATATATATATATATATATATATATATATATATATATATATATATATATATATATATATATATATATATATATATATATATATATATATATATATATATATATATATATATATATATATATATATATATATATATATATAAATATTATATACCCTTCTATATATAAAGCAGTAAGGATGTTTGTCTGTGTGTTTGTCTGTTTGTAACCACTAGGCACGCAGGCTAAGCAGACCCAATAAAACAGTTGGAGTATTGTCTGGGATGGGTAGGAAGTTGCCCTCAGGTCGTGTACGGGTGCTTAAAAGGATACGGTAGTGGGCGGGGCCGACCCGATGGGCGGGGCTTGCGCCAAAATTTCTGTTGGAAATATCGATTTTCGCGTAAACAGCTCGAATGAGGTTGGAAATTGCAGTATAGATTGGGGGCAGTGGTGAAGGTAGGTATTCCACCCGGCCACGTGCTATCGATCGATATCGATTGAAAATATCGGTTTTTGCGCAGAGGGCTCGAATGAGGTTGGGAATCACAGTATTGATTGGGGGCTGCAGTGAAAGTGCAAATCTATATCGGGAGTATGTCACCGATCGATATCGATTGAAAATCCTAATATATAAACCAGTTTGTTCGTCTGACCGCTCCCCAAAAATTCGCAAATGTCCCCCACACGTTTATAATTCTCCCTTCAAAAATCACCTAGGGAGGGCGGGTCAAGTTTCAAGTTTGGAATGGGTAGAGTATGAGTCCGCTCTATAAGGGGAATTATATTGGCCATGCTAAACTCCGCCTCCAGTGGGCGGGGCGTGCGTCAAAAATCGAAATTTCGTTGAAAAAATTGAAGTTTTTGCTCTCTGGACATCCCAAAGGTCATGAAAAATAGGGCCTAAATAGGGCACACACCGCTCTATAAAATGAATGTATTGGCCATAAAAACTCCGCCTCCAGTGGGCGGGGCGTGCGTCAAAATCGAAATTTCGTTGAAAAAATTGAAGTTTTTGCTCTCTGGACATCCCAAAGGTCATGAAAAATAAGGCCTAAATAGGGCACACACCGCTCTATAAAATGAATGTATTGGCCATAAGAAACTCCGCCTCCTGTGGGCGGGGCGTGCGCTTGAAAGTGAAAATTTTTCGTGAAAAAATAGGCCGTTTTTCGTCCAAAAACATCCAAGAACTTCACTTCTGGATATTTGATTTTCCATACGTAATTCCGCGCCCCCAAAATTCCTTGAACTCAGAAAGCGACACTAAAGATATCCGGTACATAATAATTCAATCTTGTGCAAGGGAGAGTGGGTGTAGAAAAGAAAGCGAAAAGCTGCACTCACACAGAAAACTTCCCCTTAATACAAAAACTTGGTTCTCTGTAGGCGCAGCGATGGAACTGCGCGTTATGCGTGGTGCTCAAACGTTATATGAGCACCAACGTCACGTGGAGGTCAGGTATCAAGTCAGAAACTCATCCAGTCCAAAAGCTTTCAAATTCCTTGCCCGGACTTCTGTGAAAAAATTCGAATAAGATCCCAAGAGAAAGAGGCAAAAAAGCTTACTACTCTCCTTCGTTCATATAGCGTACAAATTTGTACGCAAAACGAACGCTTACAGCAATTCTGCCGTTCCATCAAAACTGTATGATTTATGTGTGGTTCTATTCCAGGGTTCCAGAGGAGCTGACGAAAAAAATCACATGGCAACTACTTGAAGCTTTACGGTTTTGTCATTCGCACAAGTGTATACACAGGTGGGAAATTTTCAGCTTACCGTCTAGACAAAACACCTTCACGTAACTGCACACAGTTCACTCTAATGAAATCAAATATAGACATACTCCCATCAACATATGTCTGCATTAAGTTTCATGTGAATTTAGAAACAAAAAAAACTAAAGAATCTAAAGAGCCTGCAGGCGAGAGCCAACTGTCCGCCTAAACGGTTCAAATGAGGAGGTTGTCAACGTGTTGAAGGAATCCTATCCTGAAAATTCTTGCATTCTTTCCCAACATGAATATGTCAGTTGTGATCACTAGGGAACAACATACAAAGTTTCACGCACGAAGATTCAGTTTCCGAAGAGAACAAACTTACGAAAACCACTTCTATGGACGGTTGAAGGCAGGTCGCGCGACAGGTTAAGCGTTCAATTTTGGAGAATAGAGACAAAACGATCGATAGAATAGGATGCAGTAGAAGTGTGAGATGTTAGTGCAATAAGTCAAAAGGCAAAAAGAGTTTCTAGTGACAGCACTCCGTGAACCAAGTGGAAGCGTTCCCGCCAGCATTTGTGACAGATGTCCGGCGGAATTTGAACGCGTAGCAGTCCTTCCATTTTTCGAATTATTCAATCAAATGCAATTTCTTCGTTCTCTTCGTCTTTATCGTGAACGATGGGTCTAGCCAGTGGTTTATGGGTGAAGAAGAGCGATGATTTTTACGAGAAGGATTCATTTAAACAATATTCACTAGGCTGAAGGGAAGCCGTAGTTGTGATGGCCGTTTTTTCTCGGCGGGGAGGGTATTTGGCGAAGTTGTTGTTTGTCGACTGCTTTCAAAGCCAACTACGGTTGAAGCACCCGCGGTGGTTGGTGTGGCGGTCGAGTTGGTGAGCAGGGTCTTATGAGGACCTCCAAGGCTGATTGATAATGGGAGTGGTATCGAGACCCCTTTAGAGAGAGAGGGCCGTAGAAATTCTTGAAATCGGTTGGACGTAAGGGTTGATCCTGATGAACAGATTTGAGTTTCATCCCAGTGGCGCAGAAAGCTTTTAAATTAAGTGCTACACGCTGCAATATCTAAAACTGTGACTAACATAGAGAAAGGAAACAAAATGTGAACACATTTCTTACGCATTACCCTGATACTCTTAGACGGGTGATTGCCAAGCTTTACGCTGGTCAAAGAGACGGGTCTTGCTTGTTTCTTTTCCTGAGTTTAGAAACTCACGATCATTTTACTAGGTGAATCAGATTGATTTTCAAATAGAGGATGCACTTTTCCACCCAATTATTATTAAAAAACGGTATTTCAGGGACGTGAAACCGGAGAACATTCTCCTCACCAAGAATGACGTTGTCAAGTTGGCTGACTTCGGCTTCGCTAGGATAATCAGTGAGTGTTTATCCCATGCAATTTTTTCCACTTATAATCATTTTCTTGACCTTGTGTGCGTAAATATGGAGGTGATAACCGTCATGCCCCCCCCACACCACCAAACGGCCGTGCCGGTGGGTGTATTGAGTGCGTACGTTCGCGCCTCACAAGCTGCATCCTTTGCAAGATCATCTACATATGGTAACATACCTATCCTAGCGGCCGAAAATCAGTGATTTGTATCAAGCTGGCTCCGCAGTTTGTTGCATTTTCGCGTACCCTTTGCGTCACCAAATCACCGTAAGCGCTTCCTATCTTCATTTCGAATGAACCAGAGCGCGGTATAGAGCGCCACGCCAGGGTAACACTCCCGCCGAGAGCCATGATCAGTGTCGAATTGCTGTATTCTTTAGTCCATTTATCTCGTCTGCCCCATTTCTACTTCATCCCACGATTTCCTTGTCATTACCGTAGTCATTTTCTTTCTTTGTTATTACGGTTGTCATTTTCGTTTTTCGAAAGACAATTTGCAGCCAAAAATGTCCCACCATTTCCAGATCCTCAAGAAATGTATACCGACTACGTAGCAACGCGGTGGTATCGGAGTCCAGGTGAGTACGAGTTTTATGAGTGAAACATTTAAAGGAATCTTCCGCGGAAAAAGCTCCGCCTCCATTACCACAGAAAAACGATACCCCTTAGGCCCCTAGCCTCATGAGCATAGCAAAAAGAACGGAACATAAGCGTTAGTTTCGATAATACTAATCCTACACACAAGACAAAATGATCACTCTTTCCGTGGAAGATTCCTTTAAGGTATCGTTTTCTGTGGTAATGAGGGCGGAGCTTTTTCCGTGGAAGATTCCTTTAAGAGCGGATGCGGAGCGCCACAGCAATGGAATTTGTTCTTAGCCGTGACCCCCTTGTCTCCACAATTAACTAGCTTATCTCAATCACACTTTAATTGCCTCGCCCTTATATCGATAATCACTATATCCCAAGGAAAATTGCTATTTATCCTGGCGCCACTCGACTTCGTCAGACTAAATCGATTAGGCAGCTACATTGACATAAAAAAATCATTCCTGCGCTTTTGATTTTGCTGTGACCTGCCCTTCAACCCAGTGACGACAATATGACGTACAAACGCGTCCCAGTCTGCAGGCCCATGTGACATTGCGGCACCATTGCGCGTCGCACTCATACTTGTTCCTTCTTCTCGCACTCGCGCAACTCCCAAGTTGTTTGTATTTGTTACAAAGATCACACCACAACGTAGCTATAAAACGTTTGTTCACAGAATGGTCAAATTGGTTTTAATTTACAACATTTCCCCCGAGTAGAGCGAAATTGTTACTTCGCATTTTTCGGCCTTTCGCTTTACTTTGGATGTAGGTCTACATTGACATCCATGTTGACGTGTAGCCTTAAAGGCAAAGTTCGAGCTCCCATCTTCCCGGATACCTGCTTCTTTCAAGCAGCTCCCGCCGGCAAATCCACCTAAAATCCTCCTCGATCTTGAAATTTTGCTTAATTCTCACTTCTTTCGTAAACCTTTCATCTAATTCGTCAAGAAACCCGTCCAAACACAACCTCTTTCAACCAAATCTCTATCAGTTTCCGTTCCCACTATGATAACCTTGCTCAACCCCAAAATGCGACCCCCCATTACCGAAATCACAAATGCGACCCCTATTTGAATAGTGCGAACGGGCGGTTGACCCTGCCTTCCATCAACCACCTTCAGCGACGTCATCTAATCACACCGCCCTCCATCATGATCACTGTCTTTAACTAGTGATAAGCCTCAAAGTAATTCGTAGTTTCCCCTGATGTCAACTGTCCTTCCATCTCCGCTTTTTTCACTTCCTGATCTCATTTCAGAGCTTCTGGTCGGCGATACCGTGTACGGCCCACCGGTCGACATATGGGCTGTCGGTTGCGTCCTAGCAGAGCTGATTACTGGTGAAGCTTTGTGGCCGGGAAGGAGTGACATTGATCAACTTTACCTTATTAGGAAGACCATTGGTGAGCTAATTTAAGCAATTTTATAGAAATAGTAGCCCAAATCTTCTATGGAGGTTCGCTGTTAACATCTGTTCAGTAGAGGATGATATGAGGACTAAGAGGTTTTGAACTTCTGATACTCTCAAAGATACTTCAGATACTCTCCCTTCTGCTTCACAGCTTCCGGCTTGATTTTAAGAACGTTCTCCTTAAACCTTGTGAACTTAATTGGTTCTGCTTGAGAACTCTATGGATAGTCCCGTGCACTTGCAGTTATGTACTAATAGTTTTGGAGGGAAACTCCAGAGTGAAGTTATTACAATTATTCAGTCAGATAATAAGCCAGTCAGAAAACTAGATTTGCTGGATGACGAACATATGAAATGCTCTTCAGTATGTGGGCTATGAAAAAGCTTTT